ACTTGTCATGTAGTCCGCCGCAAAATTAACTTCCCGATGAACATGATCAATTTGCACACTCCAGCTATAGTGCAACATGCTACGAATCACCCGAACTATCGCAGTATGTGATCCAAACTCATCATCTATACCAAGCACCATTTTCCTTACACATTGGCTATTAATTTCTATGAGCACCTGACGGAAACTTAAGTCCCAAGCCAGCTGAAGTTCCTAAAATAATCCCCACAACTCGGCACCCGTGATGGTGCACGCCTCTATATTCATGAGAAACCCCGCTTTCCATCGACTAACTTCATCACGAAGAAGACCACCCGCATAGCTCAAGCCCGATGTCCTATTATGAGCTCCGTCCGTGGTGACCTTTATCCATCCTGTATCGGGCGGTGTCCAACGAATCGATCGAGTAACATGCATGGCAGCCCCTACTTTGACATAATCTGCCGTTGCCCGAACATCTCTCCGTTAGTCTCCTCACCTCCAAGCACCTTGAGTCCGTGTTCAAAGCCTTTGTTGAAACACTCTCTCATTTCTCCACTTCCATAAGCTCAAACGGTTATTACAAAGGTATTGCTCCAATTCTCGCATAATCCCTGGCGAAGCTGCACATAGGACTACATTCATGCACACTAGAAAAAGAAAAAATTAAATTGGAAATATCAAATTAGGGTGAGCATCACTACGTTCTGTCAAAAATCGAAATGCACCGAAAAAATTAAATATAAAAAATCTAAAATTTGTATACCGAACCGCACCACTAGAAAAGAAAAAAATGGAATTGAACCGAACTAAACTGGAATTTCTGGTTTTGTTACGGTTTGATTTTTGTATTAACTGCAATTAGAAAATACAAAAACACAAATTAAAGTACAAATTATACAGATTAAACCTTAAGGCAATCGTAAATCAATGTTCACTAAATTGTTTATTTTTAATGTTTAAATTAAAGTTAATTCTTTATAAATGTAAAATTATGTAAAACTTTAAGAATTCATTATAAATGTAGAAATCGTGTAAGACTTTAAAAGTTTAAGGTAATATACTAGCAACTTTATTTGACACATCAAAATATCGGTGAGCTTTGATTAAAACCGCACCGTTCATACTCAAAATTGAACTGCATTAATATTTTTGTGGCTTTTTAAAATTCAAACCGCACCACAAACCAAACTTTTTAAAAATCACACTACACCGAACACATCGGTTGGTTTTGTTTTACGACTTCGGTGCGGTTTTGCTCACCCCTAATTCAAACCACTTCTCAATCCTTACTTTGAGCTTCCTGTTTAATCCTAGGCATAATATTCTTCCTTATACAATTGCTCCATTGTATTAAGATACTATCCTCTTTATTATTCCAAAATATACTATCTTCTTTATTATTCTAAAAATACTCTATGTTCATTTTGGTTCAAAAATCGTTGTACTACTTTGTAATAAATATCGTACCTCTTTTATAAGTTAAGTAGGGCATTTTTTTATATATAAGTAGTACCTAGTCTTTTAGTACTTAAGTTAGATATAGCCCCTATTAAATGAGGTCGATGTCTCACATGTAACTAGGTCGTCTGATTGATAAACAATCAGGTCAGGTAAAATGGGTGAACATGTTGGAGCTAGTTGAGTTATTCGGCTTGGTTGTACTTTGACTGACCGACACAATATAGGTGGACTTGAGACAGCTCGTAATACATGAGTTGATAGCTTAGATTTGGATGATGTTGTAGAAGACGAGGAATCACTCCTATTAGCTATTAGAAGAAGCCTGCAGAAGTTGATGCAGTTGAATGTTAGTAACGATGAATTGCTTCATTTCTTATTAGATAATGACCCAACTTTTGCAGATAAAATCAATGAGCGGCTCGAGGATGAGGTCTATTGTTATTGATATTGTTTGCTTTCCGTTTCTGTTTTAGGGTGTTCTTTTGTGTTTGATCCCGGTTTTTGTGTTTCTAGTTTGGAATTAGCTAGGTTGATGGTTGAATAGTTGCAACATGTTTATGCCTCGTTAGGTTCTTGGCCTAATGATTTGTCATTAGGTCAATTTTGTTGTAAACACTTGTTTGAGTTTTTGCAACATTGGTTTTTGTTGAAAAAAAAAATAAAATAAAAAACGCCTTAATAACCTTCAAATAAGATAAAAACATGGAAATTGCGTAAGTCTTGAATGCACGGGCTATTGTAAGATGTAAGTAACATTTATCTTCTATTTATTTCTTGCCCCTTGTACTTCCTTTTGTATCCATTTTGAGCCCTTTTTACTTTTTTTATTTTCCTTTCGTCCCTTTTCATAAATTAAGAAAGCTTCTAATGATTATTCAATGTTATTGCTTTGGATTAGACCACTCAATTAAATTGTTGACTAATAATTTGTACCAAGCCTTAGTATTAGTCTATTTAGATACTGTAATTGATTGCATCAGTATTAGAACCGGGGGAAGAGAGTGCGGTCCCACCAGATGAAGGCGCACCATAAGAGGGTGAGCCTAGATGCATCTTAGTGAAGTTTCATCCCAAAACCAATTGGTGATGGGAGAAGTAGTCCACTAAGCTTATATACTAGACTTATTTTCCTTGTAGAATCAATGTGGGACACTCACAAGTGATATTCCAACTATCAGTAATCATTTACTCTCAAGCCAAATTATTCAGAAAGCTTGTTTTTCACTGTGGAATTGCTATCTTCTTTTTAGATAATTAAATTTATTAATATTTCATCATAATAAAAATTAGTTAAAAGAAAACACTACCAACAAGACTTGTTAAAGAAAATAATTGAGTAATTACTTTGAGTAATCCTCCCCTATCCACAGTGGACACATATTAATATGTCAACCGCTTATGTGGCATGCATACATTAGTGATGTTAATATGCTTAAAAAAATACATCACCAATGTGTGCATGCCACATAAGCGGTGAACATATTAACATGTGTCCACCGTGGATAGGTCAGCATTATACCGGATATATTTCATCGGGACTTAATTGTTAAATCTATAAAATATAAAGGATATAGTGGAAAAT